CAATGAACATAAATGAAAAAGTGTCTCTGTAGTAAGGTGTAGACTCCTTTGGGTATATGCCCAGGGTATGCTCTGGCTAGTTTTATGTCAGCTTGACACAAGCTATTGTCATCTGAGCGGAGGAAACCTCAATTGAGAAAATGCTTCCGTAAGACTGGGCTGTAGGCGAGCCTGTCGGACGTTTTCTTAGTTAGTGATTGATGGCTGTCCTAGTTAGGGCTACTGTCGCTGTGATGAAACACTCTAACCAAAGCAACTTGGGTAGGAAAGGGTTTATTTGGCTTACACTGCCACATCACTATACATTACCCAGAGAAATCAGGTCAGGAATTCAAGCAGCACAGGGTCTTGGAGGTAAGAGCTGATGCAGAGGCCATGGAGGATTGTCACTTTCTGCCTGCTCCTCGTGACTTGTTCAGGCCATAGCACCCAGGACCGCTCACCCAGGTGGAAGTGCTCTCTAAGCAACTTGGAGAGGAAAGCCAGATAACCTCTTTCCTCCCCGAGTTGCTTGGCCAAGATGTTGCATCACAGCGGTAAAAAAAAAAACCTGACTGAAACAAAACTTGGTACCAGCATTGTAGGGTGCTGCTGGGACAGACCTGGCCGTGCTGCTGTGACGAGGCTGTGGAAAGACTTTGAAATCTTTGGGAGAGTAAAGTCGTTGAGTGTTGCGAACTTATTGATCTCTAGGAGATGGGAGAATGTTGACAGCAGTGCAAATGATGGAGGCCTGGCTGGTGGAGTGCCAGAGGAAGCAGAGACTCTCCCAGGCCTTTTGCCTGAAGAATCTGTGGTGTCTGGTCAGCTGAAGCTGAATAATCTGCTGTGATTGACAAGAGAACAGAATCACTACTTTGCTGGGACCATTGATGTCCATCAGCGGGGGCTGAAGAATTAGCTCTGATTAAGAAGAGACCAGCATTGCTGAGGTGAAGTGTTCTAGGAAGTGTTTCCTGAAAGTGTTCTGGAAGTGGCCTAGGTTGTGACTTGTTCTGACAACCAAACTTGATCCTGTGTAAGAGTTACCCAGGTGGCACTGGCTGTGAGGGCATGAAGGGACCATGGTGAGCGCTGAGAGGCCAGGATAGGCTATTGATGAAGGTGCAGCCTCAGTAGTGATGGCAGCCCCAGAGTTAAAGGGGCCATGAAGAGAAGTTGAGGCTTGAACCATGAAAACAGCCCAGGAGAGGCTATTGTTGAAAGTGTAGCCCAGTTGCAGCAGAAATCCCTGAATTTTGGAGATGCCAATGTCATGGGATAACTCCCAAGAACAGCAGCAGCCATCGAGTGGAGCCCTGCTGAAGCATAGAAGTCAAGCTGTGTGCGCTCCAGAGAGCAGACGAGCTGGAAAACTGAAAAGCCCCAGTTAAATGCTTTCCCTCATAAGAGTAGCCATGGTCATGGTGTCTCTTCACAGTCACAGAACACTGAATAGGACAGAAGATGGTACCAGGACTTTGTGTGCATTAGATAAATTCTCTACCAACTAAGCCAACTCCAACCTCTCTTTAAAGACAATCACCCTACTCCATTTCAGTTAATCATTTTCTTGATGAACATAGTTATTTTCGACTCTTATTCCAATGCATATTTTATATTTTTTGCTTTTTATCTCTGAGCTTGTGATTTCCCCCTTCACTTTATAGCGTGGTTCCCAGAGACAATTACAGTCCCGCTCATCCTTTGGTACCCGACTGACCTTCTGTTCCCTTGGAACCTTTGGGACACCCTTCTGGAAATGACCTCCTTCTGTCTTAACTGGCTTGGAGCACAGTTCACACTGCAGTTCTGAGGTTTATCACACGTTGTCTTAACAGTCTGGCTGATTGGCACATCTGCCGCTGAGATCAGCCTTCTGAGGGCAGGAGCCCTACATTTCTGGGTCTGCGGCATAGTGACAAATCCTGAAAGTCCTTTGGTCCTTGATGTTTTTTACACCTGCCCACCTAAGTCTGAAATTTGGAGTCCTCTCTACTGTCAGTATTTGTGATCATTCGCCTGTACATGTCTCTACATGTACATTCACTGTACACGCGTAAAGGCCAGGTCCCTTTGTTCTTTTCCCAGGAGCCCCCAATGCTTTTGCTGCTAGCCAAAGGGACTTGAAATGTCTGGAGTATATCTTATGACTAATTGCATGTTGAATAAAACAGGTTTTCAGAGGAGCCAGGTATAAGAACCCTTGCTCTGAAAGTCAGAGTACTGATGTTCAAATCTCCAAATGCCCATATGAAAGCCAGGTATACAAATGCCTGCAGCCCCTGCACTGAGGAGCAGAGACAGTCTGATCTTTGGAGCTTCCT